GTAATACTAAACAAAAATGCATGTGTTATACATCAAAATTTAAGTTAGGCATTCCTGGATAGGATAACATTTATTTGAGGAACGTAACACTTATAGTTTTTTCGCTGTACTAAATCAAACGCGTGAACTTTTTTTTTGCGCCACCCGGTATAAGAATCTGTAATGATTTTTCTGTGTTGGTGTAATGTACTCAGTTGAATATGATGCTTGTGATGTTACTAGGAGTGTCTAAATATCCACACCGGGCAAGCTTGAAAAATATGCCTGACCACGGTGGGAATCGAACCTACGACCTTTGGAATACTAGCCCAATGCTCTGCCAACTGAGCTACGCGGTCTGGTCGGTTCACAAGCATAATATAAGAATCTGTTTTGAAATTCTAGTCTGAACAGGTTCTTATTTAAAGGGGGTTTAAATAGAATATTTTTGCCTAATAGGTTCTTAAATTCTAGGTTCTTATATGCGGGGTTTTACTGTAGCACCGGTGTTCGGTGATCGTGCAACAACTACCATGAAATAATAATGGGGCACGGTTAAGGAATAAGCATACTCCCCCATTCCTGGCCTGCAAATAATTATTTGACTTGCATGAAAGGACAGATGTCTGGCCAAGCCAAAAATTGGCCGGACACTTATCAATTTTTCTCGGACAACGGACGGACAAAGTAAAATATTTCGACTATTTTTTAAAATTTAGCACGATTTTTTTTTGCCTGGTCATGTTGATCTGCACTGCAATTCATCTAAAACTGAGTATATCTACCAGTCCTAATGCATCAGTAAATTATAGTGCAGGTTATACATAACTTTAATTTCTATCATGTTTTTTTTTAAATTTTCGTTTGCAAATAGATTAATTTTTAACTATAACCTATTCATATGATGTAAACTTTACTAATGTATTCTTAATATATACTTGTAACATAAGATATGTATTTTTATCTTTTGATCTATTAAAAAGACTTTTGAATTGAATTGAATTGAATTTATAATTAAATATTACGGCTTTAAGCAGCAAGAAATAGTGTATAAGTGCTGTCTATATTGCTTTCTTGTTGGTTTCTTTAATAAAAATGTGTTAAATAAACAATTTTTTGAGATTGGAGATTTGACCATTCTAAATCGGTTGGTCACATATCCGGTCATAAAAAGCTTTGATCGGACAATGAAGGTAAAATTTGGCCGGACAATGTCCGATCGATGACCGGTACTAATTTGCAGGCCTGCCATTCTGTACGTACAGCTAATTCATTAAAAGCATTTCAAAAATGAAATCAATATATCGATTTTTGTCGCCACCATAACGGATTCCCACACGGCAATCTTGGGAATTTTTATATATAGTATTTAGTATTAAAAATGTAAAATTTATTATTAAAGAGAAGCATTCAACCCCCTGGATCATTAACTGATTTCAATATGTTTTCAGGGGGATGACAGCATAGATATCTTATATACACTAGATAGCGCATCTCTTTTAGCAAAATTGAAGTCAAGAATATTCCAGCGGTTACCCCCATTTGAATAGATGGCGGCCATGTTCGTGTTTCCCACTCGCTAATAAACGCTTAAAAAACAACAATAACTTTCATCATTTGAATAGTTTGAAAATGTATTTGGAATAGGTTTAACTTAATGTTTAAGTTCCCTGTTTAACTAATAGAAAACATACGATTCTTCTCATTTCATGGGAATATCCTGAGTCTGCAATCACGGCTTCAATTTTCGAATTGCAGAATAATTAGATGCACTATCTAGTGTATATAAGATATCTATGGATGACAGCCTCTCTTTAGGGCACCTGTTAGGACATATGGCGGACTGGAAAAATCCCTTACGCTAAATGACACCGAAGTGAGACGTTTGTGTGTGGTTGCTCTGTGGCCCTGGGCACGAGGCTGACCGCTGACCTGTGGCTTATTTGTTTCCATTTTTAGAAAGGCCTCTCGGCCCAAAAAATAACAATTCAAATTGAATTCACAATGTTTTTGGATTTTTTTACATATTTTTTCGACTTTCGACCACTCTTGGATTTCATTAAATTCGTTATAAAGACCAAATTTGTTTGCAGTGATTGTGGTGAATTCTGGTATATTGCATCTGCGCACGCGTAGACGCAGTCAACTAATGGCGTTGTCGTTGGAGCATCCGCTTTTTACCTCTGAAATCGTGGGCTCGATTCTCGCTAAGTCCACGCTCTACCGAAATTCGTGGGTCGAATTGAATTCGCACATAGCATGTATAGGTTTGCTAACTTGTCTGGAACAAGTTGTTATCATCTTGTTACAAGGTTGATGACGGTAACAGACTTGTTACAAGTTGTTCCAACAAGACTAATACAGGCTGTTCGTAATAAGTTGCTACGAGCTTGTTGTCATCAACTTGTTAACAACTTGTTACGTTGTAGACGATATCAGACTTGTTGGAACAACTTGTTGCGAGTCTGTTGTCCTCGTCAACCTTGTTACAAGATGATTACAAGAACAGTTTGTTCCAGACTTGTCAACAACTGGGAACAAGCAGTGCGAACACATCTTGTTGACAAGCTGTTTGCTGAGATTTTTACCTACATGTAGTAGGCATTCAAGAACATGTACTACCTCTGTATGATCTAACCATGCTTAACTACAACATCAGATCACTTTAAGGTAGCCCACATTTAAGAACATGTACTACCGCTGTATGATCTAACCATGCTTAACTCAGCAGTGAGTTCTGTACAACATCAGATCACTTTCAGGTAGCTCACATTCAAGAACATGTACTACCTCTGTATGATCTAACCATGCTTAACTCAGCAGTGAGTTCTGTACAACATCAGATCACTTTAAGGTAGCTCACATTCAAGAACATGTACTACCTCTGTATGATCTAACCATGCTTAACTCGGCAGTGAGTTCTGTACAACATCAGATCACTTTATGGTAGCTCACATTCAAAAACATGTACTACCTCAGTGTGATCTAACCATGCTTAACTCAGCATTGAGTTCTGTACAACATCAGATCACTTTAAGGTAGCTCACATTCAAGAACATGTACCGTACCTCTGTATGATCTAACCATGCTTAACTCAGTAGTGAGTTCTGTGCAACATCAGATCACTTTAAGGTAGCTCACATTCAAGAACATGTACTACCTCTGTGTGATCTAACCATGCTTACTTAACTCAGCAGTGAGTTCTGTACAACATCAGATCACTTTAAGGTAGCTCACATTCAAGAACATGTACTACCTCTGTGTGATCTAACCATGCTTCACACAGCGTGCAGTGAGTTCTGTATAACTTCAGAACAACTTGTTGCGAGTCTGTTGGCCTCGTCAACCGTGTTACAAGATGATAACAACTTGTTCCAGACTTGTCAACAACTGGGAACAAGCAGTGCGAACACATCTTATTGACAAGCTGTGAGATTCACGTTAAAACATACCTTGATTTTAATTGGCTTCATTGTTGCAAATGCTTTTTCGCAAAACACACAGATCCCCAACAACAATCTGGTCAAATCTCCGCTAAAATTTCTTGAACAAAATTGACGGCCAATAGTCAAGTTTACCTTTCCATAAAACCTATAACGGACGGTCTGGTATAACAATCATGCTATGTCTTTTGAAAGTTGAAGACACTGGACTGAATGACGGTTTAGTTGATCAAACAAACACAGCAGGAGAAAATAAACAAGTAAACAATGAAATGTGTGCAAAATGCAAGACAAAACAAGAAGGCTCCAGTTATGTCGTTAAACTCAAGCTTTGCGACAAAATGTAAAGCAATTTTTCGAGATTTCTGACAACGAATTTGCGATAAATTGGAAATATCACTTTTTGAAATTTTTGATGTCAAGGTACAACTTTTCTCGGATTCCGTTTTATACTTTGCACACAGTTTTCAACAAAAATACATCGATATCAAATACCAGCAACACGTATACTTCTAAAATATGTATTGAATTGAAAATATCTTTCTCTTCGCATTTCTCTGTCATTGTCAGCCGTATTGCACTATGAAATACAGTCCAGACCTTTCTAATTGTTAAAGACAGTTAAGGTTTTTAAAATTAATTAATCTCTAATGTACTGGTCCTTTCGAGAAAGGCTGTACTTGGCTTAAATATAATTTACACTACGGCTCAATGCAATGGCGCTATGGCTTTGGTTGTTGCGTATACGCGCGTGCGTTGAAGTTACACTTATTGTGCTTTGCACCAAGCGAGCGCGCTGCAGGGGTCAGGTATGATATATCAATCAATCATATCTGTAATTGTCAATATCTCGTGAACTTGTGTGCGCATTGTTTAATATTGGTCATTGGTTGAGCTGTCTTTGTGAAAATTGTTAATCCTCTTCGAATGTGATTCGACCTGGGCCATGATTCTTCATGTAACGTCTAGACAAGAAAATTTAATTTAATTTATAATAGGCAATTTTTTTCAATTTGCGATGAAAAATGTTCAAAGCCAAAAATATCTTTGGCGTTCCGCTCAAAACTACTTTGTTTTAGCTACAAGGTTATTGAGCTCAACAGAGTTGTTACAAGTTGTTCCAACAACTTGTTATCGTCCTACAATTCAACAACTTGTCAACAAGTTATGAGTGACAACCTTGTAGCAACTTGGAAAAATAACAGCATTGTTACAACCTGTTGACAAGCTTGCTACAAGCCTGTTGCGAACACATCTTGTTGACAAGTATGTGAGATCTTTTCTGTGCAAACTAAATTTGTGTCTATATCTGTTTTTGTAGGAAAGGATGACATTTTCTTGTTCTTAGTCGTTAAAAAGCTGACCATCAGTAGGGGAGTCAGAAATGGCATTGGCAGGTGTTGCATTTCCTGCCAACCCAGAGAAAGTAAGTCATGAACCAATCATCACTCTCTATTTCATCACGTGTCCTCACTGTGTCCCCAGAGGGGACCACAGGTAAGGATCACCCTACTGATGATAATTGACCACTTTGTCACTTTAGCTTATAAATACCGTATCCCGTTCTACGGCTTGTGGGACAGAATAATTAGCATAAAAGACGTTCTACGCATGCGCTATATAAACGTTTTCAAGAATAGCTCTGATCAACTGGCGACACTCGGCGACTGTCGCATAGTCATGAAAACAAGCCTTTAAATCTTCCCATTTAAATCTTATCAAGAATGGCTGATGCGCATGCGCAATATAAATTTGCGCGCAAAAAATAGGGTATATAAAAAAGGTAGTTCAACTTTGACAGGTAATTGTGTGTTAATTATTACATTTAAAGGTCTTCTGTTTTCATATTTATAAAGGTCAGGCTTTTAGCTTTCAAATGACACCTTTATTGAATCATTGCGATAACAAATAACCAAATACGATCTAATTTAATTAAAGTGGTCGGTTAAATTCGTATTTTTCCACATTTAGGATTTAAATATTCTTCCAATTTTCGAACATTTTCCCAAATGGTTGTTGCCCATTTAGGAAACGTACATTGCGAGTCCAGTAGTGAGTATGCAAGCTTCCAGTGTTGTAAAATATTTGAACCACTCAATGCAAAACTGCGAGCGGAAATTTACCAAAACTTGATGGTTACAATTGCGTTGCGCCATCTTGATTCAAGCGACTTGAATTTGAATCCGAAATGAGAATAATTTCAACACTAAGGACTGTTTATATGATCCCGCTTACCCTGGATTCAATGAAGTGTGACGTATTTTGAGCAATTGAAATAAGTCGCACTTCATGATCTAACAAAATTGCTTGTTACAAATTGTATGAAATTCCATGTTTTAGACAAAAAACAAAAGTTGTTGAATGCTATTAATCGTCTTCTTCCACTATAACTTCTATAGCGCGTTCCTAATTTCGTTTAAACAATATTTAAAGTTATCTAACTTTGTTTAGGGCTGAAACACGTATTTCAATTGCTCAAAATAATTCAAAATAATTCTGGATCATATAAACAGCCCCTATATAAGACAATAGCTTTTCATGCAATTGCCACGGTGGAAATTGTGATTTTAAGCGGCATTTTTAAATCGGATTGCATTTAGCTATTTTTGATCGCAATGACACAAGAAAGGTATCATTCGACAGCTAAAAGCCTGATTTTTATTAGCATGAAAAAAGTAAATGAATAAACGTAATATATAACGCACGATAACACTCGCAATCATACTTACCTATAAGATTTATATTTATTATTCTGCGCCAATTTCTCTTTCATTTCTTCTTCCTTTTCCTTTTGATATTCCTACATCAGAATATCAAAATTCAATTAGAACCAGAAGGGGTTAAGCAACGTAGTTATTGTAGCAAACGTCTTTCACAACCGCAGAGGCAATGGACCTTTCCCCTTATAACCAAAATTTTGATCTAGACAACTTGAAAGAGCATCACAAAATTAGTAATATTCCAAAGTTTCGTTGCGAAATGTTGTAAAATGCGGATAATATAGCCCTGCGAAATTTGCAATTTTCAGTCATTTTGTATTACAAACGGGAAATTGATGCCCCAACACCCGATTGGGCTGTCAATTTCCCATGCGTAATACAAAATGACTGAAAAACGGAAAATTTCGCAAGGCTATATTATCCGCATTTTACAACATTTCGCAACGAAACGTCGGAATATTACTAATTTTGTGATGCTCTTTCAAGCTGTGATGAAATTTTTGTCTAGATCAAAATTTTAGTTATAAGGGGAAAGGTCCATTTCAACGTCACGTATTTGCAATGAGTTTACACAGTTAGCAAGCTTTTTAAATGTATCTGGCGGTTGAGAAACACAAAATAATAGTTGAATATTGTCAATTTAAATACAGTTAGCCTATCATTGATGCTGTAAAATTGACGCCATATTTATGCATGCAGCAATATAATTACTGAACTTCACACATAATTTTCTCTTTGGCGTACCATCTAAAATATCTTCATTTTAGCATAACTTTACAGCTGAGCGCGTGTTACGTAACATACAAAAGATTATCTCTTAATTCTTACTGCGCAACAGATAAATTCTCACCGTAAGATTTTGAGGTATCCATAATTCTCTCTCAACAAGCTCGTCTTTTTCTTGCTTAATTATAGCCTAGCAATTAATGAAGAGAAAATATTAAGTAACTCGTGAATAGAAGCGAACACCTGTCTGGGATGAAAGCAATGGTCATATGCTCATAATTTGCTCAAAAATAAGTATCGAATCGCTTGTGATAGATCAAGCAAACAGCAGCTGACATCTTCAGAGAAAATGGCCAGGAAACATTGGAAACAATGTCTCCTGGTTTGTCCACCTTTGGGAAACACGGCTAGGAAACAATGTTTTCTGGTTTGCCCACCTTGGGAAACATGGCTAGGAAACAATGTTTCCTGTTTTGCCCACCTTTGAGAAACATGGCTAGGAAACAATGTTTCCTGGTTTGTCCACCTTTGGGAAACATGGCTAGGAAACAATGTTTCCTGTTTTGCCCACCTTTGAGAAACATGGCTAGGAAACAATGTTTCCTGGTTTGTCCACCTTTGGGAAACATGGCTAGGAAACAATGTTTCCTGGTTTGTCCACCTTTGGGAAACATGGCTAGGAAACAATGTTTCCTGGTTTGTCCACCTTTGGGAAACATGGCTAGGAAACAGTGTTTCCTGGTTTGTCCACCTTTGGGAAACATGGCTAGGAAACAATGTTTCCTGGTTTGTCCATCTTTGGGAAACATGGCTAGGAAACAATGTTTCCTAGGCTGAGTTATGCATGTTGATGAAATTCTTCATCTTATTTCAATACCTCCCATTGTGTTTGCGTGACTTTAAGTCGTTTCCTTGTCAAGTATTCCTTCTCTTCAGCGCCATACTCCTCGCCACATATTGTGAATTTCCAAAACCAGCGAACACTGAATATTATATATTGTACCAAGTAGTAAGGGCTAGACGAATGAAAACATGACATGTCACGTATATAGCATAAGCTGCCGTTAGGGACCAGTCATTAGCGAACTTAAGCAAAGCTTAATCTAGGATGGGAACGTGACAAGAAACAGCCTTAAATTTTACACTTTTAAAGTTATAAAGAACTACAGTTATTAAGAACGTCAAGAAGCTGGACTAAAGTGGAATGAGGGCAGGTATTAATATTATATTTATACATGAAAAAAAAGCAGAAATTAATAATTAAAATCCTGCGGAACTTTTAGACGTCGCCGTTGCTCTGTTTACAACGGCAAAATACAGATTGGCACGTCTTGCATACAAGACTTATATTCCAAGCTGGGACATGTACAAGTGCTATTTAGATTGCGTCGCAGAACTTTTCCCAATCATAAACCTTGTGTTAATCTTGATCGTTAAACTGTACTTCCCGTCCTACATGCTATAAGCTCGCTAATATTTGTGGCAGGGGGGGGGGGGGTGGCACCGAAGAGAAAAGGGTTGGGTAATGAAACCTTTGTCCGATAATATTACCTATAATATAGCATTGAACGTTAACTCTGGCGATGAAAGGCGCTTGTTTGGATGACCGCGCTACCAAAGCTCCCGTAACAAAGAAGTGTTCGTATTGGAGAGCTATCTGAAATGCTGTGTTGAACATACCTGAATATAATTTGAATCCATAGAACTTGTAAGAGCGACGGTCGACTATAGCCACCTCTGTGAGACAAGAAAAAGAGAAACCTCTTATAGGGATAAAAAAAATTCGTGTTAGAAAGGTAAAAAATCAAATGCCGGGTGTCCACAAAAAAATGGAGACTGTTTGATTTCATGTAACGTAAAAGTTATAAAAGCTATCGCAATGAAATTAAGATCATTACATTCAGAAAGGACTAACTTAGATTTTGATATATAACACTTGAATTTACATGCAATATTGAGCGAGATACGACCAAAATAAAAATATTTATTATTTAACAAGTATAATTACATCGATAATTATAAGGTTGTTTTTTGTTGTCAAAAACAGTAGTTCAACGTTCACATGTAAATTCAAGTGCTATATATCAAAATCTAAGTTAGTCCTTTCTGAATGCAGTGATCTTTCATTCAGATGATTTTTTTGAAGTTTTGGGAGATCAGGCGCCCATTACATTAGATGGATATTCAATTGTTAACCTTATGTCTACATTTCGTTCCACGACACTTCTAAGAATGTTCTCTTCTTCCTCCTTGACTTCTTCCTGAAATAAAACAATTTTATAACTCAGGGAGTGATTAAACAAGAAACAGAATACATACAGATGCTGTGTTGTGTTCGAAGCTAGCGGTTTACATAGAGAATAATACATGGGTGCGCGGAAATTGGGGGAGCTAGCCCGGTTACCCAAGCTGGCCCGCCTAAACGAGATGCCGCCTCGACTGACCCGAGATCTCGGGTGACCTGGCCAGGAAATTTTCCATATAAACGCCATTACCCGGGCCGGAGTGTTACTGCTCTGTTCACGCGAATATGCTTACTGTTGTAAATAAGATGTTCTCGACAGATTTCAATCTTAAAAGGCCTCTGCGAACGATTTTGTGGGATCTAAACACAGGATAAAATTCCATGGTCTCGGCAATCGGCAGAACGAGCTACCACTCGCGTACCTGGGCTGGCTCGCCTCCATATAAACAGCTCCTTATACATTACCTTAGGCCGTTTCTTCTTTTTTAAGCCATTTAAAAGGCCTTCTTGAAGCGCAATCCCCATAGCCTGACATGAAAATACACACATAACATTAAACATAATTTTAATAGCTGCTCCCCTTGACGAGTAAAAAAGCACAGAACGAACTGTAGACGGATAATATTTATCTGTAGTGAATAAAATCCAACCTTGTTTCTATATTTAGGTTCTCGCAAGGCGTACGAGACAGCTTCATTATAACGTTGCCAGCCATGGAGGTACTAGAGAATACGGCAAAGATATTTGTCAGGTATATACAGGTACTCTCAATTTTTGTATTGCCAGAACATGGTGTGTTTGCACTGCAACAGACTCGCAACAAGTTGTTCCAACAAGTCTGATATCGTCTGCACGTAACAAGTTGTTAACAAGTTGATGACAACAAGCTCGTGGCAACTTGTTATGAACAGCCTGTATTAGTCTTGTTGGAACAACTTGTAGCAAGTCTGTTACCGTCATCAACCTTGTAACAAGATGATAACAACTTGTTCCAGACTTGTCACAACAACTGGGAACAAGCAGTGCGAACACATCCTGATATCGGCTTCACAACAACCTTGTTACAACTGATTTGCAGCTCTGTGACAACTTGTACGGTTTTACGCGTGCGTATAAATCAGGCCATCCTCAGATAACAGTAACAGAAGCCGTACCTGTAAAACGCTGACTATAGTAATTGTCACTGCAATCACAATTCTGACATCAACCTGAGGCGAAACCTGCCTTCTGTAATATCTGTAGTAATTATAGTAGGCCTCCTCTAAAAGTTGAGGAAATTTGATTTTCAAGTTTATTAGTAGCTAGGAAGCAGATACTTCTAAGCATAGTGGTGACGGACAGCAGGGGTGGCCAGGGAGGCCAACCGGCCTCCCTCCCAATAGTTTCTGAAAGCCTAATGGGTGATTCCAGCTATATACTAAATTTTGATCAAGGCAAGAAGAATGAAATCCAACACAACAGCTAGAAAGAGCGTCTTAGAATGAGTAAAACTGCAAAGTTTGGTTGCTAAATGTTGTAAAATGAAGAAAATATAGTCCTGTGAAGTTCGCAAATTTTGTATATATTTGTATTACGCGCGGTAAAAATAACCACTTTCGGCTCAAAAATGATTATTTTTCCCGCGCGTAATGCAAATATATACAAAATTTGCGCACTTTACAGGGCTATATTTTCCTCATTTTACAACAAATCACGACCAAACATTTTACTCATCTTAAAATGCTCTTTCCAGCTGTGGTAATGGATTTTGTTCTTCTTGTCCAGATCAAAATTTCGTCCACAGCTGGAGTCATCCATTATGGAAATTAGGAAAGGAACTTCGCCACAACCAGGGGGGGGGGGGTGAGGGCAATGTGGGAGGTGGGCCAGCACCCTTGTATATTCATGGATAGAAAATTGTTACAATTACCAGGATGATCCAACATGTAGTCATAATCTTTGCGTTGCTCGTCATCTTTCAATATCTATGTAGAATCGTACAAAATACATTAACCCCCACATGCAGAATTTTTCATTGGATTTGGAAGAAAGTAGAAAATAATACAAAAGGTACAGTCATAAATCATAATCATTGCATTCATTTTTTTTCAAAAATCATTTTCCCGCAATACCATGAGATTTGAAAGGCTGCCTATAGCTGTCACCTGCCGAGACCTGTACATATATAGTTAAATATATTTAAACTTAAATATATTTATATTTATATTTAAACTTCCCCCTGAGGACTGTACCCTCTAAAAAGAAAATCTCGACTTCCAAATCATCATCCCTTTAAAGTAGCAAGTTTCTTGCAGCAATGATATTTTCAAATTTTCATTTTACCCAACAACTATTGTATTATAACCTGGAACAATCTCCCCTATATCAAACTGCCTGTGAATATCAACACTTTTAAAAGTGCTGCATTAAGAGCATCATAAACTTTTCATATATATAGTTCATATATATAGTTATTTTGTTTAATGTTAGTATCTCCTAGTATAGTGTAATTAAGCTGATTTAGGAGTGTCAGATTAAAGATATAGTCTCAAACCTGGCAATGCAATTAAGCTAAATTAGCTAATAAACTTGATTGTTATATAGTTTAATTTTCCCTCTAAACAACAATTACAATTACGTACCTCAACCGCTGTTGCAATTAATCTGAACTTTTCCTCTGCATCGCTGCCCTAAAAGTTATAGAAAATAATTATTAAAGTTAAATTCACCATTGACCAAAAGACATTATGACCAATCTTATGAATCATATACTGTTCAATGCAACAGAAATAACAAATTTTATAAATAATGAACATGCTTCTCTTACCTTATATATATCAGGATGGTATTTCTTCGCTAGCTTCCGGTACGCTTTAGTGATTTCACTCTAGATAATGATACGTCAATTGCATATTGTAATTTAAACAATGCAGCTGGGAAAAATTAAATGATGGGATATTACCGATTATTCATGCAACAATCTAGTACTGACACCGATTTTGTAATGACGTCATAATGTCAGTCGACTGAGCAAAAGTGACTATAACTATTCATAAATGGGTGCAATTCACACATTAATTTTGTTGTGGCAAAAAATTGTGTAAAAACACACTGTGTACCAATGCGCAATGTATATCATTTTTAAAGCGCATATTTTCTCAATCGGTGTTACACAATCGGAAATACAGATAATTCTCTAATTCTAATTGTCTATCGATGAGGCAGAAATCAGCCCAATACCTATGATCAGCCAATTCACTTATAAGCAGCTAGTGCAAAGCAGAGCTCCAATATTAACCCATTGAGTGGCAGAACTCTCCTCCTGATGAGTTAAATTTGTCTGGCATTAGACAGAGTAAAATAATAAAGTAGCGTGCATTGCCACTTAAAGGGTTAACAGGGTGCATGGGCAGATAGTCTAATTAACCCGTTGAGCGGCAGCACTCTCCCCCTGACGAGTAAAATTGTCTGGCGTTAGACAGAGTAAAATAATAAAGTAGGGCACATCTGGGTGCATTAATTGCCACTTAAAGGGTTAATTATCGTGTGTATGTCACACCCACACTTCCTACCTGCCCACACGCTGACAATAACCACGGTTAATAACCTACTAGCCTATCAGAGTCTCATATGTGAACTCAGTCTCTGATTGCATGATTTATACTTGTTGTTTTCTGATGAAAGAGTATTTTATTACAATGCAAACTGCAGGGTTAAACTGTCTAAGTGAACTACAGTTTCAAATGAAATGCAGAAAAAATTTATCACAGTTTGTCAAATAGGAAGATCAGAAATCTGCTTGGTCCTTGGTTTACAAAATCATTTTGTTCAAATTCTTCTCAAATTATTTGCAGGTTTTTACAATTTGGAAAAAAATTGTGCATATTCCTATAAATGCAATAATTTTTGTGCAGGAAATTAATTTCCTTCAAAAAGACAATACTTTACAGCATGGAGTCAGGGATTTATGACATGCTATTGAAGGGGTATGTTAACACTTAATAGTACCGGATTTAATGGCCATAGGCCAATATATTTAATTAGTAACCATATACTTTTAAAAGTAATATATTTAATTTCTAATGTGAACAAAAAAACAGGCAATCTCTAAACTCCATTCATATATTAGCAAACCTTTGAAGATTCTCGCGTCACCCCAAGAACTATAGGGACAAAAAACAATTAAAAAGAACAATTAATAAAAAATCTTTGTTTACAAAAATAAAGTCAATGTTGACAAAATGGTCTTTAAATATCTCGCGAGATTTATTGAAAACTCGCGGGATCACGAGAAAAGCTCGAATACTATTGGTCAATTTCGACAGGTAATTAATTAAAACCGCGCGAGGGACACCCGCAAATTACAAGCAATAACAAATTCGATTTAAAAAGCAACGTGTTATAATAGGGGGGTTTAAAAACTCGATTTTTTGCCCTAGAATTTATAGGATGGAACCGATTTTTAAATATATGTACTTACCGTCATAGCAGTTCACCTCTCCGCAGTATAAGCCATCAAAAAATCCGTTAACCGTATTAAAAACCGAAAATAATAGAATTAAACGCAGAGCTCCACTATGTTTGTATTCTTTCATGGTTGAAAGTTTGTTTTGAGCGAGAAGCGCCCGCGATGTGAGGTCTGCGGGTGTTTGGCGGGGAGGGTGGTACTTCATTTTGAGAAGATATAGTGGATGTTGACGCGTTTAGTATAAATCAGAACTAGAAGCCTTTTCCCAAAAGAGATCACAGTGAAGGCAACGGCTACCAATACAATAGATCATTGAAAAGAATCGAGTAATTACAATGTATGAATAATTTAGACATTGTCCTTCGCTCTGTTTACAACGCAAAATCTCAGATTTTCACGTCTTGATACAACGGCTGCATTCAGAGCCGCAACAAGTGCAACTTCAAACTGAGTTTAATAGCAGAACTCTTCCCAACCATAAAACCCATTTCTTCAACTTCTAAGACTGTATTAAATTCATACGATTGATAATACACGACCAACTATCTAATTTACTACCATTTATTTGAAGGAGTTTGTTTTGGCCATCGCGTTGCCGTCCTAAAATCGCAAGGTCTCTTATACTGTATCCGATAAAACACGACAACGAGCGTTTTGAATAGCTTAAAATAAGACTATAAAAGAATACTAATTAGGATGAACAATTATATAATCGTACTAATTAAGGTCCAGCCACACCGGACGCGATTCGACAACGCGACGCGATTTTTTAGTTTTTGAAAGTTAATAATAAAACAGCCAACGAGAGCAAAATTTAAAAGATATGTAGACCAAATAACTCAAAATGTTATAACGCTTCTAAATATTTGGAAAATTTAAACTAGGATCAAAGTTATCGAGTTATCAATGATCAAATTTAAACTAGGATCAAAGGTATCGGTCAGTGAAAATCGAAAAATCGCGTCGCGTTGTCGAATCGCGCCCGGTGTGTCTGGATCTTTGAGATGAACAATTATATAAAGAATACTAATGAAGATTAGTTTTATCAGATATAAAGTGACATATTATGACTGGCATGATTTGCCACAAGGTTTATGAATATCCGAGCAGCCGAGATTTTTTTTTTTAATTAATATTTAATTTCAGGAAGCTTTCTCACAAAGTGATTTTCAGAAAGGTCCTGAACTAAATAAACTATTTTACAAGGAAGATGTGCATATACTACATAACTATGAAAAATATTAAAAAATTATACGAGGGAAAGTTCAAAGATTGCTAAAAAAGTTTCTCTTAAATGTGGAAATACTAGTAGATAGTTTTATCTTTCTGTCCAAGTTGTTGCAGTCTGTTATGGCCTGATAAGCGAGTCTTTGCCGTCCCCAATTCCCGGACACTTTAGGTGGCCTTAAATTGTCCTTATATCGCGTATTGTAATTGTGCATTTCTCTGTTCGCTAGAAGTTCAAATCCATGTGAGGTATGATTATTTATAGACACATAAACATTCCATGATATAGCACGGACTACGAGGGTTTTAAATGGCTTAAAAAATGACCCATCTGATGAGTTCATTTATACAGGATTTTAATTTCAATATCATAAATATAATTACTTCTTACGCCCCCTCTTACTAATGTTCGTTCACTAAATTTCTCTAATTCTATTACAATAATTATGGGGAAAACCTCTCACTGAATAACACTAACTCCGAATAACATTTTGATTTTTAAAAATCAAAATGTTATTCGGAGTTACTGTTATTTTCTGTTACAATAATTTGATCATTTTATAAATTCTTCAAAACGAGTCCACGCGTGCACCAGCAAATTTTCTGTGACAATAGGCAACTTGCATGTTAGACTAATTTTTCAGTGATCTAGGCAAAAAAAAGTAAATTCCAGTAAAGAACTTATTAAAATTAGTAAAATTGCAAAATTTGGTTGCGAAATGTTGTAAAATACGGAAAATATAGCCTTGCGAAGTTTGCAAATTTTGTATATGTTTGTATTTCGTGCGGAAATTGTTACCATTTTTGAGCCGAAAATGGTAACAATTTGTCAATTTCCGCACGTAATACAAACATATACAAAATTTGCAAACTTTGCAAGACTATATTTTCCAAGCTTTACAAGACTTTACAACATTTCGCAACCAAATTTTGCAACTTTACTAATTTCATTATGTTCTTTTTAGCTGTGGTGTTTGATTCCCTTCTCTTTACTTAGATTAAAATTTAGTCTAACATGCAAGTTGTCCATTGTTCAGTTCAAGAGTTGTTTATTGTGATTTCTGTCCATAACCTAGCTCTGCTCCTCCAGACACGGGCAGGTCAATGCCAGTCATGAAGGTGCCTTCCGCAGCAACGTAGACGCAACATTTTCCCATTTCTTCAATGGTACCCATTCTTCCTAATAACTACAAAATAATGCACTCTGTTAACTTGTTGTCATTAAAGTGATAGTGATGATGAATGATGATGATGATGATGATGATGATGGTGATGATGATGATGATGATGGTGATGATGATGATGA